TGCGCCCGTTCTTCCCCGTCATCGTCGGCACCTTCATCGTGGGCTACGTCGCCAACTCGGTCGTCGGATGGGTCGCCGCCAAGTCGGCCGGCGCCGTCCCGCGCCGCGCCGCCGTCGGTGTGTTCTATACCTTCATCGTCACCGCTATCAGCGGCTTCTCGCTCATGACTATCCCCACCGTCGTCAGGGAGAGCCAGTACTTCATCTCCACGCTGCAGTCGGAGAACCCGTACGTCTATGTGGCAAACTCGCTCCGCAAGTCCCTCGGCGATGACCTTACTACCAAAGTAGAGGCCTACGTTACCTACTCCATCGAAATGCCGGAGGCCGCCGCAAAGGGCGTCCTCCCCTCCACCCTAGACGCCAATACCCCCATCCCCGTCGCCGAATCTCCCGACGAGGAATGGACAGAGGGGCGCTCGCGGAGGCTCGGCATGCTGCTGCAGAAGAGCATCCGTAGCTACATCGCGGGCACCATTTCCCTCATCACCAAGCTCCTGGGCGCGAGTACAAAGGTCATTTTCAAGGCCTTGCTGAGCCTGCTTTTCAGCTTCATGATCATGTGGGATCTACCTGTCATCGCCGCCGGTGTGCGCCGCCTGCGCACCAGTCGCCTTTCGTTTGTGTACGAGGAGCTCGCCCCGGCTGTCACAAAGTTTGGCAGCGTGCTGGGGAAGAGCTTTGAGGCCCAGGGCCTCATCGCCCTGGTCAACACCTCCTTGACCACCGCGGGATTGCTTGTTATGTCCATTCCAGGCGTGGGCTTTCTTTCCGTAGTCACGCTCTTGTGCTCCTTCATCCCGGTTGCGGGCGTCTTTATTTCCACACTGCCCATGATTATCATCGCGCTCAGCGAGTACGGCGTGGCCAAGGCGCTCGTTGTCATCGTTATGGTTATCCTCGTGCATTTGGTCGAGGCTTACGTGCTCAACCCGCAGATCTATTCGGCTCACTTGCATTTGCACCCTTTCATGGTCCTCGTCGTCCTTTATATTGCAGAGCACTCGTATGGAATTCCGGGTCTGCTCATGGCCGTACCTGTGGCGGTATATCTCTTGCGAACAGTCATGATTGAAGACCCGCAGAATAGACAAGTGATAGCTTCGTCATCAAAATCGGTTTCAAAGCCGGCTTTGTCGGAGCCGCCATCGGACTAGCATAGACTTTCATTCGCAGACAATGTATAGAACTATTGTAAATGGGTTCCCGCTCGGTCAGGTATGTACATACGTTCCCCTTGGCACCTGGTTTCCCATGTCACAGATTAGACGAGTTTTTAGTAACACTCTCCACAGGAAGTCTATAAACTACGCCTACGACTACTTGAAACAAGTACTGTACTAGCTAGGTAAAGAGTAGCAGCACACCACATACATTAACCTATCGAACAAACGCGCCGCTAGTCTCAAAGTGCACATGCTGATCATGATAAATCCGAAGAAACTCTACCGCCATCCCGCTCATACCGGGATTCACTTTGCACTCGCAGTCGATCCCTCCGTTTTCACCCCATGAACGAAACATGACACGGTTCTGATCATCGAGCTGCAACTCGAAGCCTATCTGGTCGCCGCGATGTCCTTTTAAGAGGTTGTCCATGACTTCGTCACGGTCGCGATAAAAGTTGGGCTCGTAGCCGGCTAGAGTTTGGCACGCGTGAGTAATTGCTGGCATCGCACGGAAAATCTTTGCAGTCATGGATGTGTGTGTCGACTTTTCGGAAGCCACGAAGACACGCCCACTGTCGTGGCGTTCCAATATGGTTTCAATGTTTGAAGATGAGACCAAGTCGCTAGCATGGGAGTTCACAATGAAACCGAGATATCGGGCTTTGGGAGATCGGAACGGACTTGCGGCTTTGTAGACGACCAGCCCATCTTCGTCAACCTCCCACTCGACGTTGATGACAATAAAATCCCATTCCGTACCTTCCTGATCGAGCCTGTACATGACGCCAGGGATTTCCTTGACGAGAGATGTGTGCACTCCAAATTCAGGACTTGTGATAACAATTGCTCGCTTGCCTGATTCCCGGAGCGTAGGTATCATCTGCTTCTCTTCCGGGATTCGGAAAATCGGGACTTGGCAGTCGTAGGCCCACAACAAAGCACTATTTGCTGTTGACATGGGGCCGAAGTCGGATTCGGGGGAAGGAGTGTAATACATCTCGCTGGCGCCAAGAAATCTTGACGTGCCCTTGAAGGACGCAAATGAGGCGACTTCATCGCCATAGCGCATATCAGATACCAGATGTGCAGGGGCGTCACGATGGGAATCAGAGGTGACGTATCCGTTCTGGTATGATTCCTTGATCTTCCCTGCCGCAGAGTTGGTTGCGCATCCAACGATAGACCCTAATCCAAATGTTGCAGAGTCTTGCTGCTCAAAGATGAGGTTGGCAGCTTCCGGATCCGTGGCTTCACCAGTGAAAAGTGTAGTGAGTGGGACGTAGTACCCACCGCGGCGATGCAAGACTTCGAGAGCAAGCATGTTGACTGAAAAAGCATCCATGTGGTCTTTCGCGTAGAGGTTTGCGCAATAAAACTGGCCAATCTCTTCCTTGAGCTTGTCCCAAGTCCAGAGCTCATACTGAAATCCGTTAGCCGGGCAAAAGTTGTCGCTCCAAGTGCTAGTCCACCTTTCAGGTAGCTTGTCAGGCCCTTGGAAGCTGAACTGGTGAATGACTTTTGGAATTTCGGAGGCAGTAGCACGGGGCGGGACGTGGGCAGGAAACTGCTTGAGCTTGCCGAGCGGGTAGTCGATATTGGCGTGGTGGTTGCAGTCGTGTGCTTTCTTGCACTTATTGTTTCTCGCAACCCACTCCGACAGGCCGGAACAAGTGTATCCAAACTGGAAGCAATAGCTATCAAACGAGGTGAGGTCTATGGCCGAAGGGTTTGGGACGTAGTGGAAAGCCGGGTAGAAATCCTTGCTGGGCGGAACAGTGACCGGCATATCGGGGTTGATGAGGACTTTTGTGTAGGTGAGCGGGCCGGTGACCCATTCGACGCCATAGTGGTTGCGCTTGTGTGGGTAGACCTGCTTGATGTAGGACATGAGCATGAGAATGAGCGGGTGTCTCGGTGTGCAGGCGATAAGGCTATTGCCCAGGATGGAGTAGGGCTTATCCTTAGTATCCGGTTCGTAGGTGATCATGAAGCCGGTGTCCCTGGCGGCTTCTAGGGCTGGGCGGAGGTCGCGCTGCGTGGAGACGATATCGGCGTCGACGTAGACGCCGCCGTGCTCGTACAGGACCTCGAGGCGGAGGATATCGGCCTGGCACTGCGGGGCGGACTCGGCGTCGAAGAGGGCGCGGTTGAGCATGTCGAGGCCCTTGACGGCGTCGTTATCCCAGAGCTTGTACTGCCAGTCCTTCTCTGCTGGGGCGGCGGGGGAGGCCTTTGCAAAGCGCGACATAAAGTCGACGCGCCAGGTGTCCAGCCAAACGCACGGGGGCTGGCGCGTGCCGATCCATATCTGGTGCAGGAGGTGCGGGATGCCGCGCTGGAAGTGCGGGGTCTGGCGGTGCGCCGCGCAGGCAGACTTCCACACGTCGGCGTTGCCGACGGCACACTCGCGACGGTCCCAGATGTCGAAGCGGTTCACGTCGGTTATGTAGAGGCTGTCGACCGAGAGCGGGGGGGCCTGGTCGGATGGCATTGTGTTTCGGGGGGGTAAGGGGTGGGTGGGGGGATGAGTTGGAGATGGGGCTCTGGTGGGGATGGAGAGGGTAGTGGAGTGGGCTAGTGGGTTGGATATGTAGCGGTGGGGTATGTTTGTATATATACGCGCCGAGCAGGACGAGAGTGGGTTGGCAAGACAGGGGGTGAGGCGGCCAGAGCGCGTTGGCGAAATGGCTGCGTACAAGTTGTAGGTCTACAGACTAGAATGGCATCTGTCGGGACGTGATCTGTGTACGGGGTCGAAAAAGCAATAAAATGAAGGGCCTAAAATGAATGGAAAGCGAAGAGAGCGAAGCGGTGGGAGAGCTCGAAAAGCAATAAAATGAATGGAAAACAAAGAGAGCGAAGCGGTGGGACAGGGAAGACAGGCTTTCGGTTGGCTGCAATGCAGCAAGCTGGGGATTCTGAAAAATGGGAGGCTGCGCAGTGGCACCAGCCAGGCAGCCTGGCGATCTTTTTTTCATCGCCTCCCGCGCCGGATGCCCAAACGGGCGCGGGAGGCCTCCCGTTGCGAACCGCCACTGTCATCACCTTTGTCATTGGCCACTCTTGCGAACCGGCGCTCGCAAATTGAGTTGATTCGTGGGAGAGCCACCTCTTCACATGACCAATAATATGACGCCAGTTGGCCCCAGTCCTGTCTGCAGCCATAATCCTGACACCCCGACACCCTGTACAACAATGCCACGTCGCCAAGCCCAACTTGGTCAATCCCTCCCCGTCCCGCAGCCCCTTCTCTCCTGCATCCCCCCCCCCCCCCCCCCCCCCCCAACGCCCCGCCCGCGTCCCGCCCGTGTTGCCATCGCCGTCTCGCTGCTCGCGCGCGACGAGCGGCCCCGATCCCGCTGCCGCCATGTCGGCCTCGCGCTCCATCGCCTGGGACCTGGGCAACGCCCCGAAGCAGAGCATCACGGAAGTACTGCAGAACCCGCGCGGCAACGCCCTCCAGCTCCCGGACTTCGATCTCTCCGCCGCCACGGCCCTCGCCCTCTCCTCCCCGACCCCGCCCACCCGAGTCCCGGACCCGCTCAACATCAACCACTTCGAGGACTACCTCCGCCGCTACGCCCCTCTCCACGCCGAGTTCGAGCAAGAGCGCCACCGCATCCACCAATCTTCCCCCGCCCCCGACCACCCCGCCGACCCCCACCAGCATGTCCTGGACAAAATTGGGGCGCGATGTTTGTCTCGCACATCCCGAGAGAGCT